GTCAAATAAAATTCCTTCTCACCCAGTGGCCGAAAAGCTTGATCGCTTGCTTGTAAACTATCATTAGATACAACACTTTCCCAATAGCCAATCCTCTTTCCTTCCACCAGAATTCTCTGATTATACACCATGTCTTCTAGATACCTCTGTCCCCTTTCAAATTCTTCAATTACCTCACCAAACACCCCAACTTCCTATCAACAACTGGAGTGTATGTGGAATCAGGCCGGTGGCATAGCGTTGAATCTCTCTTCTCTTTGTTTCAAACTAAGAAAAATAAAAGGAGCTTTAAAATTACTAAACAGAGGAAATTTCTCTAATCGTCAAGAGAGAGTGAGACAAACTAACCTTTTGTTACAAGTTGTGCATGTGGAAGCTTTAACAAACCCAAAAGAGGAACTTTTTCAGCAAGAGCAGGAGCTACATGATAAATGGTGTCCTGCGACAGATTGAGGAATCTTACTTCAAACAGAAGTCAAGAGTAAATTGGTTGAGAGAGGGAGATTTGAATACTGTCGACCTCCATCGACTTGTCCGTGTCCGAGCCTCTTTCACTCAGTTAGGAGCTTCACCTTGCCATCAGGAATTATCATCACTGATCCCCAGGCTATGGGTTTACACGCTGTCAGCCATTTCCAAATGTTACTTGCACCAGACTCTCTTCCTTTCCAATCTACCTCGTTGGCTTGGATCCAGGAAGTTCAATGGCTAAACTTCCCTTGCCTGATGAGATTACAAGAGTATTAAAGAAGCTGAATGCAAATAAGGCCCCGGGACCTGATGGCTTTACATCGGGATTTTTAAATCAGCATGGTCACATCTTGGAAATAAGTTCATAGCATCCATCAACCAGTTCTTCCTCACTAGTTTCTTACCGGCAGCCACGAAGGCTACGATACTCACACTGGTACCCAAGAGACAAGGATCCTCTGCAATATCGGACTTCAGACCCATTTCTTGCTGTAACACCCTCTACAAGACTATTGCTAAATTGTTGGATCATTGCTTGAAGCCTCTGCTCCCTGACCTGATTCTTCTAAACCAAACAACACACAAGGCCGCCTACTTGTGGAAAACACAGTGCTGGCAGCAGAAGTCGTGAATGGCTACCATAGAAACAAAGGACCTAAAAGAATCACCTTGAAGGTTGACATCACAAAGGAATCTGACACTGTCAGTTGGGACTTCATCTTCACTTGTTTGACTGCTATAAATGTCCCCTCTCTTTACATAAGATGGTTGCGCGCGTGTTTGTACCCCTTCCTTCTGTGTCGGCTATAATGGAATGGTACAGGGCTACTTCAAAAGTAAAAGAGGTTTGCGACAGGGAGACCTATTATCTCCCTATCTTTTTGTGATTGGATGAACTGTTTATCTATTCTCCTTGATTGAGCAGCGCAAGAAGGGGCTTTTGGTTATCACCAACACTGTTAGCCAACAAAACTGACACATCTTTGCTTTGCAGACGATCTTCTGATATTCACGGAAGGTTCCCTAAGATCAATCAAAGGTGTTCTCGAGGTACTACGGACCTTTGAAGCAAACTCGGGCCTAGGCATCAGCGTTTCCAAATCATGTTTCTTCACTTCGGGTCTAACTCAACAAGAAATAGACTTCATCCACCTAGAAATATGGTTATCTCATGGTGAGTTACCAATCAGATACCTTGGGGTCCCATTATGTACAAAGAAGCTCTCAATGGCGAACTGTGAGCCTCTTATACTAAGCGTGAAAGGAAAACTTAACTCTTGGAGTGCTAGATCTCTCTCATTTGCAGGTTGACTATTGCTTATCAATACGGTGATATCAGGGGTGACAAACTTTTGGTGTGCGACGTTCAACTCCTTATGTGGAGCTTACCTATGGAAGGGAAAAATAGAAGGTCACCATTCTGCAAGAGTAGCGTGGTAACATATCACACATTCTAAGGAAGAGGGAAGCTTGGGAGTTAGAGATTTACTCAACTGGAATAAGGCGGCTTCAACAAGGGACCGGTTGCTGTCTTGGGGATCAAATACCCCAGCGACTTGTCTCCTATGCCGCTCAAGGGACGAAAGCCGTAACCACCTTTTCTTTGAATGTGTTTATACTTGGCAGATTTGGGAAAGAATAGGAGCTCGATCTGGGATCCCACCTTCCCGATCATGGGACCGTACTCTCTCAGCTCTTCAACAAAAATCGGGTCCCCGACATGCTCAACTCCTCTCTAGTCTCGTATGGCAGGGCACCATCTATTACATCTGGTCTGAACGGAATGCCCGGCTACACAGAAACATCTTTCGATCTTCGGACTCGATCTCTACTGCAATTGAAACATACTTAAACACCAAGATCACTGCAATCAGACCAAGCTCGCCGCAACTCTCCTCCACTCTTTTCCAACTATGGCATCCGTGATCGGACACCATTACTTGATAGGCCAGTAATTAGGTTTATTGTGTTTTCATTGTTGGGTTTATCCAAAAAACTGTGGTTATTTTATGTGTGAAACTTTGGATTTGGGTTTGTATTATTGGGTAATCTCCTAATTACTGCATGCTTAGGCTAAAATCTTTTGTAATTTTCTTTTCATGCTTTAAATTGAATGCCTTTTTTTTCAAAAAAAAAAAAAAAAACAAGGAAATATTTTGATCTGCATGACGTGACCATGTGGGCCTAAAAGGGGCGTTAAACCTTTGTCTACGCACACACGAAGGCCTTAACGTGGAGATTACAAGATGTGTTGTATTCCTTCACTGAAATTTCATTTGTTTTGTACGTTTATCATAATATATTTTATGGTGGATCTATCAACGTAAATCATAATATAATTTCCGTTTCATATTAAGTATCGTTATAGATAATTTTTTCGTTACATAATAAGTATTATTTTTTGGTTTTCAATACAAGATTTATTAATTTTATTATGTAATTTATTTTTCTATTGGTTAAAATATGGTTAGGTGTATAGGTAATTATGTTTTTATATATAAAATATATAAAATTAATCAATTTTTAATCTTTATGCATAAATCTAAAATGACACTTATACGAAACATAAGGAATACCGGTGAGAGAGTGTTTTGAAGTTTGGCTCATGCAGCAGAATGGGAAAAAGTAGAGATTTGGTCTTGGGGAACGTGGGACCATTAATTTTGTCTGAGTGTCAGTCCTTGACTATCACATATTGCTACTCGAATCTAGTACATATGTCTTTTTTTCTCACAAGTTGAAGCTAAGTTAAGTCCAAAGAAAATTGATTTATGGTTAAATTACTTTTCTCAGTTTGCAGATATCTTAATCTTCTAGTCAATTTTCTAGATATATCCAGCAATACCGCCTCGCACACCTGAACTAGTCATATAATTTCGACGTTAGCGTATAAGTTATAAACATTCCAGTTGGATGTATGCATTAATAAGGCAATGTACGCGCTCAATACAAAACACTTTAAAGTACTATTATTTTGTGTTTCAAAGTTGCGTATATAAAAACAAACATTTTGAGACGAAGTTACAAACCAGTATTAGTTAACTAAACAATCGTTAGGCGTGATCTGTTATCACTTATCAGTTGAACAACCCTCAGTCCACTTGTGTTTGATTAATGATGAGTGAAGTTATTGATCTATCACGAAAAGGGTCATGTGCATGTATATGCCATTCCTCAGTCAGTTTACTTAGTTTAGTCAATCATAAACTATTCATTTGATCAGACGCGTTGCAAAGATTAAAAATCTAGACCTGCATGGTTTGATTTGATCAATAGATTCTCGATTTGCTTTTAGGGTCTTGCAATCAACGTCCTATGTACATTGTCGGCTAACCTTAAAATGTAATATTACAATTAAGTACCTGAAAATTGGCATGACATCACGAGTCCTCACGTCACCGTAAGCAAAAAAGTACATCCAACCGGATCCTATCAACGCGCTACGTACAACTAGGAAGTCTCTTTGAAGATGATTGTTTATTGGTTTAGACGGCAGAATTTGAGTTTTATTTCAAATATATTTTATTTTAAAGTGAAATGAAATAATGAAAAATATATTACTCTATTTACGAAGTAAATTCATTTTCTATTATATTAGGAAGAGAGAGATAAAATAAAGTTGGAGCATTATTATTCTCCACTTTGGCCATGTTCGTTTTAAAATCGCTGAGTAATTGACGAGCGGTCAAAATTAAAGGTACCAATACGGAATGCAAAAGAACAAATAAAAGATGAGGTGAAGGGATCTGTGTGTTTCTTGTCGCCGGGAAGAGAGGAGAACATATATATGAACAAGGTCGCTGTTTGGTTTAGCGACAACGGAACCACCGAATTCCTTTCATTATTTTGCCGCTGCGTCTTATGTTATACACTCCGATGACCAGTAAAGAAGAAAATCATGACTAATTTTCAGTCGCTGATGCCAGTCGCAGCAATCTCAAAACGAACATGGCCTTTGTTAATATAGTTAACAATTGAAATGCTCTAACACATTTTTTTAACTGTTTAAGAAAGATATTAAAGTAAACTCTAGTTATCTCAAAGATCCTTTTCTTTTCATACAACTTCTTATTGTCTAAAGCTTAAAAGAAAAAAGAAAACAATACTTCTTTCATTTCATTTTAGTTATCATTTTAAGTTTGGGTAAATAGACTAAGAAATCATTTAGTTTTACATATTTTCAAGATAAAAATACAATACCTATACACTTAACCACATTTTAACCAATGGAAAAATAGAAAAGTAGATAAAATTAATAAATTATACATTGAAATTATAAGACACTTATTTTGAAACATTGTTTTTTCTAAAACGACAAATAAAGTGGAACGGAAAGAGTAATAAAAGAGAAAACTTGTTGTATAAGCACTCGGGCTGTACCCGTCATAATAGATTCTCCTCATCATTCAGTTTCTATAAATACAAAACAGACGAAACTCACTTATCATCGAACTCATCACTCAAAAAAAGGAGGATTCTCTATAAGAAAATATTATTTTAGTAGGTAGCTTTTGTAAGTGAGTACAGAGATGACGATGGAAGAGAAACTCGTGATCAACGGAATGAAACAAGGGATAGAGCTTACCAAACGATTGATGAGCAATATCAAACACACTTCTTCAACTGAATCCAGCAAAGCATTGATCTCTGAAATCATCCGTATCCACCAAAATGTCATTTTCATTTTGAGCTTAAACAAAGACGACGAAAGTATCTTTAAACAAAGCCATGAGACAGATTCTAAAAACGTGTTTAAAAAGCAGTAAGTTGAGAGTATAAAGTGATTTTTTTTTCTGTGGTTAGCTCTAAGTTGAGTTCTCGTGTGTCTGAATCTTTTTTTTTTTATTTAACAGGAAATTATTGGACAAGAAGGACGAGAGAGTTTACGTTTTTGTCGGAACAGGACAAGGAAAGGATTCAGTTGATGATGGACACAGCTGGAGAAAGTACGGGCAAAAAGATTTTCATGGATCCATAAATCCTAGGTAAGCATTATCAATCATCATCATGAGTGGCGGAGCCAAGATTAGATTTTATTGGGGTCAATGTATATACAAAATTTTTTGATACAAAACTATAAGCATCTAAGATGAAAAGCTTAATAATATTTTGTGCATAGATTTAAATCTACATTTTTAGTAATATTATGGATTTTTAATATATTTTTTAAAAATAAAGTAATTTTAATTGGCTGAAAAGCATAAAAAATCAGAATATTATATGATTCTATTTGTTATCATTTATTTTCATATGCATTATTATTTATCTTTCATATCTCTTACATATCACAACTTCTATGGACCACTTTAATCCAAGTTACGGTAAACATATTAATAAAATGTACAATTAGACTTTAATTAGAATCAGTAACCGAGAATATTCATTAGACATTAAAGACAAAATGTTAATTGAGTAAATTATGCATAGAGTTAATATCATAAAGATAAAAGATAGAAAAATAGATTGGGGCAGTTTTTTTTGTTTTCTATTTTCATTAAAAATAAAAAGAAATATGAAGATTTTTTTTTAGAAATGTGAAGTTAAATATGGAAATGGGTCAAAATACATAATTAATAGAGGTCAGTAATTAAAATTTGTTGTAATTAAGGAATAAATTAGAAAATCTAGTGGGGTCAGCTAACCTCTTACCTTGTAACTAGATCTGCCCCTGATCATTATAATTAACTCTATAACTTTGGGCGTTTGCTTAAGTTTATGTCTCTGTTATTAACTTATTACAGAGGATACTTCAGATGCACACATCGATTCACGCAGAAGTGTTTAGCACTGAAGCAAATCCAAAAATCGGATACAGATCCTTCGATTTTCGAAGTGACGTATGTCGAGAACCACACTTGTAACAACTATACATCCCCGGCCACGAAGTTCTCTGTGCCGATGTTTGAAGAAGGAAAAAGAATGGATGATGTTACAGAGCAAGTGATGGTGAGTCTAGAAGATCTGGAGAACAAGAAGAGGAAAAACGTTGTCATGACGCTTTCTTTCTCAAACCATGAGAATGTTGGTGGTGGCTGGCAAAGCAATGTTTTCATGTAAAATGTGATGAAAATTCATCTGATGGAGAGTCTGTCTCCTGCGACGACATCTTCTATTGAGAACTCGGAGACTGCAGATTCGTATTTCTCGTCGTTGGACAGTATCATCGATTTAGGACATGAGGATTGGTTGTGATCGTGACATTTGAATTGGTGTATATGATTTTCTCGTGGCATTAATAGTTTTAAATTATAGTTTGGCTTTTAGGATATGGATCTTGCCCTCTCTCTTTTCAATATGGTAATCCATGATTAAATAACGAGTTAATTTTTGGGAATGATTAAAATAATCAATGATTTAAAAACAGTTGAGTAGCCGACAAAAAACCGTTGACTATATGGGCCGTGAGCCCAATAACAAATTAACAGCCCAATCTTGAGCAGAGACTTTTCAGTTGAATTTTAGTCGAAACTATTATGTAAAAGATTCCTTGGGAGAGAAGAAGATGATAATATCAAAATATATCTTATTCATTAAAATGCTCATTTACATGTACATATAGTCAGCTATACAATTGAGACTAAACCAACTAATGTAACTAAACCATTAAACCGGTATACATAAACCAATAGGCCCCCTCAAGATGAGATTTCGTAGATATTAGAAAGAATCATCTTGGAGATAAGATGATAGAATTGATGAGGGAAAAAAGGTTTCGTCATAATGTCAGCCACTTGATCTGCTGTCCGTACATGAAGAATCTTAAGCACCTTTCTATCAAGCCATTGCCGAACGAAGTGACAATCATTCTCAATATGTTTGGTTCGCTCGTGAAAGACATGATTGGTAACTATATAGATTGCTGCAGTGCTATCAGAAAAGAGAATAGGCGTCTGAAGTCGAGGAACTTTCAGATCATTCATCAGTTTGATAATCCAAATCATTTCCTTAGCAGCACTGTTTAAATCCCTATACTCTGCTTCAGCCGAAGAACAAGACACTGTATCCTGCTTCTTCGAGCGCCAAGAGATTAAGGAGTCACCAAGAAACATCGAAAGACCTGTAGTAGATCGTCTACTGTCACGGCAAGATGACCAATCAGCATCAGCAAACCCTTTCAAGGTTAAATCAGATGATGAAGAATAGAAAAGTCCTTGTCCTACAGTTCCTTTGATGTACTGTAATACCTGGTAAGCAGCACGAAGGTGAGGAGAATGAGGTGCAGACGAGAACTGACACAGTTTGTTGACTGCAAATGTGATGTCAGGACGAGTGATCGTCAAGTACATCAACCTCCCAACAAGACTTCTGTATCTCTCAGGTTCAGTTATCAAATCTCCATCCTTAAAAGTCAGATGTAAGTTAGGTACCATAGGAGTGGATGTAGGTTTACAGCCTAACATGCCAGTAGAAGACAAGATCTCCTTGTCTTGTACGAGCAATTTCCAACCCCAAAAAATATTTCAAAGCACCAAGATCTCTGAGTTTGAATTGCTGAGACAGATCATTGGTCTAGAGTAGGAGTCACTGGAGCCAGATCATTGATTAACTGTCTAGAGTAGGAGTCACTGTCTAGAGTAGATCTCTGAGTTTGAATTGCTGAGACAGATCATTGATTAACTGGAGCAAGATCTCTGAGTTTGAATTGCTGAGACAGATCATTGATTAACTGGAGCAAGATCTCTGAGTTTGAATTGCTGAGACAGATCATTGATTAACTGTCTAGAGTAGGAGTCACTGTCCAGAGTAGATCTCTGAGTTTGAATTGCTGGGACAGATCATTGATTAACTGTTTAGAGTAGGAGTCACTGGAGCCAGCTACAATTATGTCATCCACGTAGACCAATACAGCCAGAAAATGTCCATCATCAAAAGATTTCAAGAACAGTGTGTGATCACTAGTACCTGTCTTGAAACCCAAACGAGATAATGCAGCAGAGAACTTGAGAAACCATTGGCGGGAAGCTTATTTTAAACCGTAACTAGATTTCTTCAAACGAAAGACATCAGATTTTCCCAATGTTAAGCCCTTTCTCTCTGCATATCCGTCTGATATCTTCATATATATATATATATATATATCTCCTCATTCAAATCTCCATTCAAAAATGCATTCGATAAATCCAGTTGGTGGAGAAACCAGTTATGTGACGCTGCAAATTTTAAGAGAAAACGAACTGTCGTGAGCTTAGCTACAGGGGAGAAGGTTTCAGTGTAATCCAAGCCTTCTTTCTGAGAAAAACCTTTAGCAACAACACGAACCTTGCGTCTCTCAAGCGTACCATCAGCATTAAACTTTAAAGAATACAACACCTTAAACCCAACTGCTTTCTTCCCATGTGGTAAGGTAGTCAAATCCCATGTCCCTGTTGCTTCCATTGCCCCAAATTCTTTATCAACTGCTTCAAACCACTCATTAGAGTCTTTTGCTTCAGAATATGATTGAGGAATTGAGATTTTGGTGATAGTATTGATATAAGATAAGTAAGATGGAGAGAGATTGGAATATGAAAGAGAGGAAGAAATAGGGTAAGGTATGGTGGAATCGAGTTGGTAACAATGATAATCCTGCAGGTGAGGAGGTTGTTTACGTGGTCTAGAAGAAATATGTGGTGGAGGATGAAAAGATGGAGAAATTTCTGGTATAAAGTGATGGATGAGTATTACCCGAGGACAAAGATGAAGTTGGTGTGAAGAGTTTCAGTCTGTCATCAGTAGTTTCAGAAGTTGCCAGCGGAAAGATATCTTCATGAAAGATGACATTTCTTGAAACAGAGATACGTTGTGTCTCCAAGTCTAACAATTTGTAGCCTTTGACACCAGAAGGGTAACCCAAGAATACACAAGCCCTTGATCTAGGTTGGAACTTATTCCTCTGCTTAGGAGATGTGGAACCATAACACAAGCAGCCAAAGGTACGCATCTGATCATAAGCTGGAGCCTTACCAGTAAGTATCTCAAAAGGTGTTTTGTTACCAAGTAAAGGAGAAGGAGTGCGGTTGATTACAAACACTGCAGTCAAGATACTATTTCCCCAATATTCAAGTGACATTTGAGATTGAAACATGAAGGCTCTCGCAACGTTTAACAGATGTTGATGCTTGCGTTCGACAACGGAATTCTGCTCAGGAGGCTCATGGAAAGAGTGGTAAGAAACTGTGCCTTTTTCTTGAAAGAAGGTTGTGGATTTTAACTCAGGAGCATTGTCGAACGTACTGCTTTGACCGTTATATTGTACTGATTCTCAACTTGTGCAACAAAAGCAGGAAACACCTTTATAACTTTATCCTTTGTGCATAGTAAATAAACCCAAGTAGCACGAGAGTGATCATCCACAATAGTCAAAAAGTATTTATAACCATCCACTGTCTCAACCGAAAAAGGTCCCCAAACATCTATATGTAAAAGCTCAAAGTTTGAATTACACATATTGTTTGGAGAAGGAAATGAAAGCTTCTTCTGTTTAACCAAATGACAAATATGGCAATAGGCAGAGCCTTTATTCTTCTGTCTTGTAGTTCCCAAAGCAGCAGATATCAGGTCAAGTCTTGAATAAGAGGCATGACCCAGCCTGTTGTGCCAAGTACCAATGTCTACCACTGCATTCACACGTACAAAAGGTTTTTTGATATCTAGCACATACAGGTTTCCAACCCTTCTACCCTGACCAATCATCAACGTTTTGGTACGATCCTGTATTTCAAAAGAGTAAGGATCAAACATCACACGAGAACCTAGAACAGTCGTCAATGTGCTTATACTGATGAGGTTTAAGCGGAACTCAGGGATAAACAGAACATTCCGAAGAAGAATGTGTTTATTTAGTTGAATACTGCCAACACCACTGATCTTGATTAGAGAACCATTGGGGAGATTCACATAGCTAGTAATGTTTGTATCCAGTGACACAAAATTGCTCTTGTCATGTGACACATGGTGTGTTGCTCCAGAATCAAGAACCCATGTATCATTTTGAAGAGTAGTCTGTGAAACAGTGAGCATACCAATGAAACAAAATGTAGAGTGAGAAAAGTTGATACCCGAAATCTCAGGGACATTCTGAGAACTGGAAGCTTCACCGTGACAAGACGCATCAGTACTCTGAAGCTGAGAGCTAAACAGAGCTATGAACTGCTGAATTTGATCCTTGGACAAATTCCCAATCAAATTTTCAAGAGGAGCAGACTTCACTTCAGGCTTAGAAGACGTGTGAACTTGAGGAGTAGCAGATGTGGATTTCTGAAACTTCTCAGGAACTTTGATTTTAGATGTATAACCTGGAGGGAATCCATGCTTCTTGTAACAACGCTCTGCAATGTGACCAACTTTGTTACAGAAAGAACAAATTGGTTTTCCTTTGTGAGCAACAGACTGAACATAGCAAATGCTTGAGTCAGTCGAAGTAGGCACTGAAGTCTCATACACTTGGAAAACAGCAGGAGAGATGGTATTAGCAAAGCTCTTCTGACTGTCATCTTGATCCAAAATGTTGTACACTTCACTAAGAGAAGGTAGAGTCTTCTTCATGATTATCTAACGACGAATCACAGCATATGATTCATTAAGACTAGCCAAGAACTTCACAATCTTAGCACGCTCAGCTTTCTGATGGTGCCGAACTCCTTTCCCACACGTACAAGGATCATCAGCTTCTTCACAACTCTCCAAACTACTCCATAGTGTCTTCAGCTTGGTGAAGTAATCAGAGAGGGATAGAGAGCCTTGGTGCAGATCATGTATCTCTTGCGTGAGGTTGTAAGTACGAGGCAAGTTCGTCATATGGAATCTAGTGTGCAAATCACGCCAAACATCAGTAGTAACATTCAAACGTAAAATGCTATGGTAGATCTGAGTTGATACCGAGTTAAGAATCCATGACTTAACAAGGCTGTTACAACGTGACCAGTCGCGAAAGTTTCGATCGGACTCAAGAGGTCTAGGTATTGATCCATCTACAAAACCGATTTTGTTCTTCGCATCTAAAGAAATTTTCATCGCAGCTTCCCAATCATCAAAGTTAGATCCATCAAGTTTGATAGAGATCAAAAGCAAACCAGGAT